GTTAGCACTGGATTGCACCTAGGCTTCTGAGCACGCGGAGTTCGAAAGCTACGGACTTGGCACCGCCGCTGAAGTAACGCGTAGGACAGACCTGAGAAAGACAAACTCAGAATAAAGGGGGGACGCACTGAACATAGCGAAAGGGTGTGGGAAAGGGCTGCACCATCAAACGACGTCTCGCGTGTGTCTCGGGGGGCACGGGGGATCCTCAACTTCGCCCCGTCACCGCCCTCCCCTCCTCAACTCTGCCCCCCTCCCCCCTCTCCCCCTCGCAAGAGACCCCCCCCCCCCCCGTCCTGGAGGCGCCAGCCCATGGGCTTCGAACAACTTCAGACGGCCAAACTTCTGATCCATGTTTGTCTGGAAACCCGATGTGATTTGGGATAGTCGTGAGGCCGACTCGGGCAGTCGACTTGGCATCCGACGCGTACTCTTGCAGAAATGGAGGTCCCTTAGGGACTTGGGGCGCCCTGGAGGCCATACTGGGGCCTATAACGGATAGCACTGGGGAGGAGCCTTGTGAGACCTTAGCCGTTTCATTCAAATGCGCGACATGTCGCCCCCTTCTGAAGAAGATTAAATTGTCAGACCTCGGTCGGAAAAGCTTTGTGACGAATGCTGCCCTTTCTGCGATACTGAAACATTTGAAGAACGCAGAAGTACCAGATGCTGTTTCCCCATGGGCAATCAAGAAATCGAAGCAAGACGTTTCACATCAACGAACTAGTTTCGGCAACCTCGTCCAGAAGGTAGTTTCTGATGAGTTGGACGGGGCTGATTTCTGGGTGGTTGATCCTTTCGCTTGGCTGGAGGTGGCGTGCACTGAATCACGCGAATTTAAGGCGCTCTTTATTTCAGCATTGGAGAAGAACCACCATGCGCTGTACATCATACTTTATACAGACGAGGTCGTTCCTGGTAACAACTTGGGACACCATAATTTTCGTCGCACGCAGACGTTCTATTGGGCTATACACAACATGGGGTATCCAGCACTTAGTTGTGAACCATTGTGGTTTACGTTGTGCGCCGCAAGGTCAGAAAAAAATGACGGACTTGATGGAGGTGCGAGTCAAATGACAAAGATTTTGTTGCGGCGATTTTTTGGATACCCGACGTCTCGTGACCTTCGACATGGCGTTTCGTTTCTTGTGCCTGGGGAAGTGAAGCCCCGCCTGATCTTCGGAAAGCTACATTTGTGCATTCAAGACGAGGTCGCCCACAAACATATGCTTGAAATGAAAGGTCACGGAGGGCATGAGGTTTGCCCCCTTCTGCGCCAACATTGTCGGCAAGAGGTGCCCCTGGGTTCCAGATGCTAGTGGTTTCTTCAAGCCCCTCACAACGTTGAATGTTTCAGAGTTCCACTTGCACACGGATGCTTCCCTGGCTTCAATACAGACCAGATTGAAAGACGCATGGGCCACGATGCGCAAAGCGAAAGCTCAGGCCCTTGAGCGACTCCACGGGTTCAATTACATCGAGACTGGCGTGTTGCAAGATCCCCGCCTTCAATTCCCAGTGGCGTCATGTTTCGGGTGGGATTGGATGCACATCTACCTCGTTGACGGGATAGTTTGCAATGAACTGGGCAATCTTGCATCGAGACTCAAGTCTCACAATTTGGGTGGGAAATCTCTTCATGAATATCTCCAACGATTTCGGTGGCCAGCTGCGCACGCGCACGCCAGAGACGTGTGCTGCGGGAATAAGTCGTTCATCCCAGGAGGCGCCGCGAGCGAAATGATTTCATTCGCGCCAGTGCTGTGCAAATTTCTCACAGACGTGGTAAGGAAGACTGGTGTGCTCACGGAAGAGGTTGACTCAATGTTGCTCGCGTGTAGGGTTCTGGAACTTTTGACAGTGGTGAACAGTGGTCACGTGAGCGCTGAGGATTTGAGGAATGCGATCCAGGCCCATTCTCGAGCCCACCAGAGAGCATATGATACTGAGACAGACTGGGAGCCCAAGTGTCATTGGGCCTTGCACCTTCCAGACCAACTGGCAAGGTTTGGGTATTTAGTGTCGTGCTTCCTCATGGAGAGGAAGCACCGTGTGATCAAGACCATGGCTACACCGCGCCACAATGCAAAGCAATTCGAGCGAAGCCTTGTGGAGGAGATCGCCCTCCAGAGCGTCCACCACATCAGAGGCCCGTTGTTGAAGACTGATTTGGTGGACCCTCACCCAGTCAACAGAAAAGTGCGGGACACGATTTCATCATATTTCTTGCTGGACTCAGGGTGTGAAACCCTAACCAGCCCTCAAGCGTTTGTGACGATGAAGATTGTCAGTAATGCAGACGTCGTTGCGTTTATGGGGGATGATGGTGCGATCAAATACGGTGAGGTGCGGTCGCATTTTAGAGTTACTGGTGTTCCGATTTCGTGCATTTCTGTCTGGGATATCGTGGATATCCAAGCGCACGTAATTAAATGCGTGGTGCGAGAAGCACCTGCCTTTGTGTCGACTGCCTCTGTGTCCGAGCCTTGCATCTCGTGGAAAGCATGCGTAGGACAGGTTTCTCACATCATAGTTCCTCCTAAGCTGAGGTTGGCGTTTCGCAAGAATTCATACAAAACATGATGTGGAGCAGTTTTCGGCTGCAGTGGGTTGCACCGTCTCAGGATATATAGAGAATGGGGCTCTCTGCTAAAATAATGTTCGTCGCCCGCATCCCGTTCATGTGTTGCTGGTCTTGTAAGTGCGAGTGTGCATCAACTTACACATGCAGGGCTGCGCCTCTGGGTATATATGCAACCATTTTGTGAATTATCGACTGTGTGTTTCTGGATTTCAGGGCCGTTTTTTCCTGGAGTATGGTGCTGGTTCCTGGATCCTGGGGACATCCACGGAAAAAAAAACATACCACTCCCCCCAAAAAAAAACAGAGCAGACGAAACAAACAATGCAGGATGATAAAAAAAAAACAATCCGGGAAAAACAACCAATGAAGGAGGACAAAAAACAATGAAGCTAGAACAAAAAACAACTCAATGCCAAACAAAAACAAGGACTTATATGTAGGTTAACCTAGTTACGCCGAAGTTCCGTAAGTAGGTTAGCTCAGATAGCTAATCAACTTAGCAACCTAGTTTTAAGGGCTCGGATCCAGCTTATGTATCTATGTTGCTAACCTGAATAGGTAAGTAGGGTAACCACCCACTAACCACCTACAACCACCCCAACAACAGAATAAGCACCTCCACCGCCCCAGTGGGGACCTTAGCTCTGGACTCTGGACTGTTGGGACGGGCGGGTCTCCTGCTCATCCTCGCTTTGATCGGAACCGTGTGGCTCCTCCAGGTCCCCGTCACCGGCTTCCTCGGCTTCCGCGGGATAACCCTCCGCCAGCTCCGCCCACAGGGCCTGCCTGGCCCTCGAGGCCCCGGACCAGTGCTCGGACACCGCACGAGCCACAGCGCTGACAAACTGAGGGGGGTCTCGTCCGGCCTTGGTGGTGACGGAGCCACCTTCCAGCACGGCATGGGTGTGCCCGCCCGCGCACAGATGCCCGTCCAGAAGGCGCAGCATTTGAGGGTGATTGCTGTGGATGCCCGTGGGTTTCTTGTTGAGTCCTCGGCCGTCGGCCTGGAGACCGAATCGGCACATATCGACCCTGATCCGCTGGACCCCGGACATGCCCCAGACTAACCTAACAACACGCGTGTCCCAGGAGGTAGCGTACAGGGGATGCTCGAAAACGAAGTGGCGCCCCTGCTTCACCTGATAGGCGGCGATCCCCACCAGGTCAAGTCCCTAAGACCCTCGGACACCAGACGATCCCATTCGGCTCGGCCCATGCGATCGCGATTCAAACGATTGATCGCTGAGAACGTCCTGCATTTCGAACATCACCAGATCACCTTAGGACGCTCGATCTTGATCCTATGCCAAAGTCGCTCCACCTCGGACTTCCGAGACGAATCTCATCCGGTCTTGAGGTCCTAAGATGGCTCCTTTCCCAGAGGGGCTCCTCGCCTCGCCACAGCAGGGGAGATGCGAGGAGGAGAGAAGACCTCCATGAAGGCCACCTTAGACCTAGTCCTAGCTCCCGGAACACCCGGATTGAGCTACTCGAGACCCTCAAGAGACCCCATCGCGGCAGCTCCTGCCTCGCCGAGAGCTCGTCGCACCTGGGTACCGCACGACACCTCGTGGTCGTCGTTCATCAGGTCCCCGTCGAGCCATTCGAGTTCTCCGTAGGTCCCTTTGGAGGAGGAGAGAGAGAGAGAGAGGGGGAGAGAAAAGAGTGCCTCTGGGGCTCTCGCGGTCGTTCGTGCCAGAGGCGACGCGACTGCATGCCATAAAAGTTGATGCGATGTGCGCTGGCCTCTCTGAGGCTCCGGGCTCTAGTGCTGCAGGCTGCAGCACCTCCTGACTTGGCAAAAGCTGTCTTACAACTGAACCTTGCCGTCCAGGTCTTCAGCACTTCCCAAGGTGCCTCGTCCTGGACGACTGTCAGTACCTCGGTCGAGGTCGTCGTCGTTCCCGGCGGCTTCTCCTCCGTAGGGAACATCGCTCTTCCCTGGGAGGTGGGAGGATCCTGCGCCGTGCCGCCGCCCTGGTTGGCCACGTGGACCAAGTCCATCACGGCCGTCCCGATTCGCACCACCATCTGCGTGAGCTGGCCCACCGACTGTTCGACATTCGTCATTGACACGGTCAGGGCGGACATCTGCTCGGTGAGGTGGTCGAGAACGTCGCCCATCGGCTCCAGGGTCTCCAGGATGAGTCGGATCCGCGTGATGCCCTGCGTACTGCGCCATCTGCTCGATGACCTCCCGAACCTTGCCGAGCGCCTGCAGCCCCTCTGGAACCTGGTAGAGCCGCCACTGGAGCGACTGGAGGTAGGCGTTCAGGTCGTTGACCGTCTGCAGCGCCGCCGAGCCTGCCTTGGAGCCCGGGTCCTCCTGGAGCACCTGAGCTGCTCGCTCTGCCGAGGCTGCTGCTCTGCGCGCGGCTTCGGCTGCTGACTCCGGCGGCTTCTCGGGAGGGACCGTCTCGTTTTCGTCTCGCTTTGTGAACGACGTCTTGAGCCCGCCGAACTGACCCCTCTGGCCTGTGCCGTACTGGTTGCCGTGCCCGATGAGCTGCGAGCGGTTGCAGTCTGGCCTCAACTTCGGCGGAGGCGACTTCGCGGGCCCCCCCTTCAGGGGGATGGCACCAAGCGGCGCCCTCGCTGGCATCGGGGGCCAGGCCGCGCCTCCGGCTCCAGCGGCAGCCCCACTTGGCGGAGGCTGACCCGCTGCCATGGCCGTCGCTGCCCACGGCGTCGATGGGAAGGGCGGATGACCGCTGGAGGCCGCTGCTGGTCTCGGCCCCGGAGGCGGCCCCCTCGGGGGCGGAGGCGGCCCGAGCAACATCTGCTGGCATTCCAAGGTCATCAGAGGCGTGCCTTCCGATAGGTGTCCGATCACCGCCGTAGATGGTACACCATCGGGCCCTGCGGCCGCCTGGGCCTGAGCCCACGTCATGAGCCGGGGCGGCACCTGGCTCGGCATGGCGGGCTGGGGCTGCTGAGACGTGCTGGCTGTAGTCGCCACCGTCGTTGAGCTCTGGTCGATCGTCATGGCTGCTCCGCCTGACGTCGCAGCTCCTCCGCCCTGCTGCTCCTGGGCCTGCCCGAGGAAGCTCGGGCTGGCCCTCGCATGGGAGAACAGGGCCATCGCCATCCAGAGTATCCGGCGCATCGTGGCCGCACCACTGGACAATGCTGACAGGGGCTCTCGGTCGGCTGTCGGCGCGAGAAAATGTCGAAGTCTGAAAGCGGAGGCTCGAGCCGAAAGTGGCTACAGAGATCAGACCCGCCAGTATCTCGAGGCGTCGTGATGGGATGGATTCGATGGCCCCTCCTGGGTTGACGTTCCTGTCGCTGAGGACCTGAGCTTGACGGAACGATCCTGAGGCCGATGCCTTCTCTCAGCGGGCTCGCTGAGCCCTGGGCCCGAGGGAGAGGGCGAGGAGAGCTGTGATGAGGAGCATTGCCAGGTATGACGTAGAGAGCCCCAACCGTTCAAGACTCCTTCCGATGGTAGTCCTACTCGAACCCCGTCTTGACTTGGTCCCCAGACGACTTGACCCATGCCTGGAACTGCCTCTGGAGGCCCGGAGGAAGAGGAGAGACAAGTACATCGCCAGTGTGCTGTCGGCCAGCATCCTCGGAGGCTCGTCATAAGCATCCGTGAGGAAAGGGTGGCGCCTGAGCGCCGCCGCCGGCACCTTGGCTGGCTGGCCCAGGGCTCGAACCACTTCGACCACGCGGTGACCAGAGCCCAGACGAGTCATGTCACTTGAAGCCTGCAGGGTGCCTGACCTGAGCTTATTGTTGGGCAGGTTTACCGCGCTCTCGAGCAAATCCAGAAGATTGGCGCTTGGAATGCGAGGCACCGTCTCTCCTAAGACTGTCGCGCCCACGATGCCGAGCACCCCGCCCAAGCATAGAGGAAAAAGAACGGCGCTGATCACTTTGGCGGGGCCGCCCACGCCGCGGGCTCGCCGCGCGCACTCGGTGCTCGGGGGGAATCTCCACGCAAAGCAGCCCGCGTGTCGCCAAAACCTCCGACTCTCGATTGAGCGCCTCGAGGCCGATCAGGTCGGCGCCGGCGCCGGGGCCCGCGAGCCCCTGAGCGGCGGAGGCCGCGAGGTAGACCGAGTTTGCGGTGATCTCCTTTTCCAGTTCCTGCCAGGCTGCATCCAGCCAGCGAGCGCCGCCTCCGCTGCCACCGGAGGCCAGGCCGTCGAACGTGCAGGCTGCGGCCCCTCGACGGGGTGGAGCTTTCTTGATGCCCGGCTCCTTCTTGATCGGCCCCTTCTTTGCACCGCCGACGTTGGGGCGCTCCCGGCCCCAGTGGCCCTTCTCGTGACACAATTTGCATTTGGTCACCTTCATGAGCTGCTCCTGTGAGAAGAATCGCTGTCTCCCGGGAGGTGCCCGCCGTCCTGCGCCGACTCCTCGTTCGGGTCGGTCTCGTCGCGGTCGTCCTCCCCCGCGCCCATCTGGGCGAGCCTGTGAAAGGAACCCGTCTCATACCCTCATCTCTACTCCTCGCTCGCCCTTTTGCCTGCCCTATCGGCTCAGGTACTGGAAGAGACCAGGGCGCTGGTCGCACAGGAGGAAAAGATCCTTATCGTTCCCTCCTTCCTCTACCTACGGATCAGGGGGGCTGCGCCTTTGTACTCTAACCCCATACACGGGTTATCAGCCTTTAAAGCTCACCATTCACCGAACCCCGCGTCGCGATCTCGCTCGCTCGCAGCCGCAGTGGATCCCCCGCGGCGGCTTCGCCGCAAGGGATCCTTCGTGGCTCCGCGTGCGAGCTCTCCGACGACGCGTGGGCTCATCGACGCTATGGAGAGCCTTGGAGGTGACCGCGTGGGTGTCCCTGATACCCCCCCCCAGCTCCGACGGCCCCGAGGCGCGTCTTGCGGCGGTACTTCGCCGCCTCGCCGCCCACGGGGGGACGGGGGAAGGAGTAGGAACAGGCGTTGCAGAAGTTCACGCGCCCAGCTTCGATCCGACCCCACCTCTTCCTACGTCGGGGGCAATCCCTACAGCGTCGGGCGCAAGCCCCACTGGTCTCGATACTCCTGGGCGCTTCCGCGCATCCCGCCGTTGGAACAGTGGCGCTGGCCCAGCCAGCCCTGCCGCCGTCCTCGAGTCGGCGCGCGCGGCGGCATTCGAGGAGGTCGGCAGACCAGTGGCGGCGCAGCCGCAGACGCAGCATCCCAAGGCATCATCATCTCATCCGACACCGCACACGCGGCCCTAGCCGCAGCTCGCCCCTTCGCGCTCGTCGTGAGGCCGCAGGCCCCTACGACGAGCACAGGTCGAGCCCGCGCGCGGCCTCTCAGAGGCCACGCGCTCCTCGCGAGAGGGTGTCCCAGGGGGCTGACGCCCCCCACCTCTTTCTCTCTGACGACCTGCCGGCGGCTACGCCCGCTGCAGGTGAACTCGCTGAGCTGCGAGACCAGGTTCAAACACTCGTGTCCAGGCAGTACTCTGGACTGGTGCAGAGCGTTCAGACGAACGCTGCACACGCTGCCGCTCTTCGGCAGGGGTTCGACGGCGCCTTAGCGGTCATCGATTCGAGGATCGCCGAAGATCGCCGAACCCTAGGAGAACTGCAGTATCAGGTTGACCGTGCAGTGTCACCCTCAGGTGAACGTTCCGCGACGGTCGACCACCTGCGTAACTACTTGGCGCAGATGGAGCAGCAGCTTGTCGTCGTTCGCGACACGGGCGCATCTGCGGTCAGGATATTGCATGACGAGATCCATGACCAGCTGCGCAATCGACCCCCTCCGACCGAGGCACGCGACCTCGGCGACGTTCAGTTCCAGAATAATGATATTCGATCACACGTGGAACATACTACGGCTACGCTTCGTGCTGAAGCAAGTGCCAACTCGTCGACCTTGCTCGGAGTGTTGCAAAATACTGAAAGAATCCTCGCTCAACATCTTGATGCGACCAACGCTGTTGCGCAGCCCCTCACTGACCGGATCTCTGTGATCGAGCAGCGTTTACCTGGAGTACAGGACGCCCTGGCAGAGTTGCGTGTTGGACGAGCCCAGACTGGCCAGCTGGAATCTCCTCCTACGGTTTACGATTTCGCCCCCTTCGCTGACAGGTTGCAGGAAGTTAGGACGGCGGCGGACCACGCGCAGTCTGAGCTCTCCCAGGCCCTTCGGGACAGAGATGCTGAAAATGTACGTGTTGAGGAGTGTCTCACACGTCTGGAAAGTGAAATGGAGGCGCGCAACGTCCGTCTCCGAGCTTGCGAGCAGAGACTTGATCGGTATTCACAGCGCTCTCGGGACACTGACGAGGAGATCAGTTCGTCTAAGCACGATCTACGCTCTGCACGCCAACAAGTTGACCAAACACACGAGGACATGACGAACTGGACGTCTCTACTGATCGACCACACCAACGACACTACATTTCGCACTCAGCCATCGCCATGCCTCAACAGGCCGACGGCGACGTCCGCTGAAGCACCACACGCTTCTGCCGGACAACCAAGACGTACGTCACCAGGAGCAGCCTCAGCGGCAGCTTCTGCACAGACGCGCGACGTGTCTCCAGTGCGCACAGACCCAACTTCAGACGGTGTACCGTTACCCTCGCAGCCCTTGTCTGGAGTTTCGGTTAACACTACCACTCCTATCAAGGAGTCTGACACCGTACGGGTCCCTGTCTTGCCCAAGATCACTCAGCTACTCGAGTGGCAGCAAAAGGTTAGAAAGAACTTCGGTGCCGCTTTGGGGCGCCCCTCTAAAGCATGCGCTTTCCACTGCGTCGCCGAACAAACCTGAGTGTACCTTTGAGGACTTACAAGACAGCGGTGATTTTGAGAGCATCGACTGCAAGCCCGCAACTGCTATCAGTGGCATCTTGTCCTCTGACTTGCGCTTCAAGATCAAGCTCACCGAAGCCAAAGAACATAAAGCTGGACGTATGTTGAAAGGTCGCCAGATCTACTGGCACATACTACAGTCCTACAAGGTGACCGAGGTTGACAATGACTTTCATGATTTTGAGCGCCTCAAGGAGTTGAGGATGAGAGGTGAAGATCTGCAACGGCTCACTAAATGGGACGCTCTATTGTTGGATTGCCGAGAGGCACCCGACCCCAATATCCTCGAATCTTTAAGTCCGGATTCAGATTCGCAGGCACGCTTGGATGAAACAGGATATGAATGAGTATCAGAGAATGAAAATAAGCGACCCCCATCGCGCCTACGACTGGCTTTCGTCAACGAGTACTCGATGTTCTGGAGATGAATCAACTCGAGAAGAACCAGAAGAAGCTACGGTACGAGTACGAGAACCGTTCTCAGGTGAACATCTGCGCTGCATGGAACAAAGGCAACTGCCGGAATGGGGACCGTTGCAAGGCTTTGCATACATGCTCCAGGGAAGCAGAGACGGCCGATCTTCTCGTACTTCGCACGCCGGCGGCCACGCCCGCCGCGGCGTGTCGGCCCCTGCAAGTTCCAAAAACAAGCCAAACGCGAAGCCCTTCTGTTTCGAGCTCGCCAAACGCAGTTCCTGCGTGCGCGGTGATAAGTGCAACTTCCCGCATATGGCGCAGCGCAGTTACTTCGTCCAGAACAAGTGCCACAAGGTTGACAAATGCAAATCTGCCCACCTTGCTGCTTGCACGAAGACACCTGAAAGGAGCCCCATCCGCCCGCGGAGTCCCAGTCAGGACAGCCGCGGCCGCCCACCATCCCGCGGATCTGGGAGCAGACGCTCTCCACTGCGCGGGGGGGTCCGGAGCGCGGGGGGCTCGCATAGCCGACGTGACTACAAACGCCACCACGACCGCTCTCGATCACCCCCCCCCGGAGATTCACTGATTCTCGAAGCCCTTCGAGAGGCCGACATGACAGATCATTGCGTTCATCATCCCGTTGCAGAGACGGACGTGGCGGAGGACGTGGCAGCCCACGTGGCCGCGACAGATCATCAGGCAGCGACACAGGACGTGACCGACGTCCCATGAGCCGCAGTTCGTCTCGTGGCTCTCCCAGATATCGCGCACGTTCTCCAGCTATTGGTCGCCGCCCACGCCGCTGCGACCGCAGTTACGTCATCCGAGACGAGACACTCACGGCCGTACACAAGGCCAGGGACGCGTCTCCCATAACACGACGTCGGCTACGTTTTGATACAGACAACGTGGAGTATTTCCGTACACCGTCTCCGGCAAGGCCA